CGACCAATCGACATCACTTCTCCCTCGCGCACCCATATAGGCTACTGCCTGAAAGCGTCAACTTGATTTCTACTACTACTACTAGTGGAAATAGTTCTGTTTGAGCAGAATTTCTTCAAAATCGTACGCGATAATAATTGGTATGAGAATAATTGACTATTATTTGTCAATGTTCTTTTTGTTTGTTATTTAATTTTGAAGACAATGTTTCGGCGAATTGCAGAAACACAACAAAGCGCCTAACACAAACTGCTCTGTCATGTTCGTATAGATATAGCTCATGACTGGAAAGACGGATTAAATTGAGGTGAGGTTCAGTTCAAAGCTAAGATGATGGTCTTTAATCGGCTCGCAACATCCACCCAAGTGCGACGAACAGGGACGACACAAAAAATTAAAAACACTTCGCGCATATTGAGCGCAAATGCACCCTCTCCTTTAGTTCGGCACCATTTCTGATTGAATTATCGTACGGAAAATGTGAAAACACCGTCTGAAAGAAAATTTCTCGCTCTACACCTTTGTTTCTCATGATTTTCCCATATAGTGCACAGAAAAGTCACGAGATTCGAAAGAAACGATCGCATAATTGTAACGCATTGTTGGTTTGCGGTATTTTTCACAGAATAAAGAAAATCTTCAAGTTCAACCGTAATTTGCACAAAATTGGCCATATAGATTTAGATAACCCTTAACCAAAACATGTTTGTAATTTTTCGCTTGATTTTTCCTGAAAATTTCATCAAAATCGTAAAGGCCGTTTCTTATATTCCCATAAGGATAATGTCAGAATAAAAATATAGTGCACATGCCAGTGCAATAGGACCCTAATCGGGCCTAAAAATTTGAAATAAATACAATTAGAAAAAACAAAGGTAATGCACAGGACGACTTACTTAAAATGACTTTCTCGTTCATGGGGCTTCTGTTGTGTAGATTTCAGGTCATCTTCGAGACTTGACATCTTGGATTGGCTTTGTATGATTTCTTGCTGTAGTTCACCAAGGACAGCTAAGTAAGTATCCTTCCGTCTGGTAGTCTGCTCCAATTCAGATTCAAGCAGCTGAAGTCTTCCTTTGACAGTACCTACTTCTTGTGTTTTTGCTCCTAGAGAAATTTTGAGAGAAGAAATCTCTTCAGTTAAAGCTTCTTCCCGTTCCCGGCCAATAGTTTTCTCCCTCTCTACATCAAGTTTTATCTTTTCAACTTGCTCAGTCAATGCCAGTATCTCTTCCTTTTGTGACTCAACTTTCTTTGCTTTCTGCAATGACTCTTCATTTTCCCATTGAATCATTTTTTTGTTTTGCATTTTTAAAGAGCTAATTTCATTTTGCAAAACCATTTTCTCTTCTTCCATCTTTTCCACTTCCTTGCGATTCTCTTCAACTCTAGTCAGCAAAAATTGGGCCAAATCTGATTGCTTTTGAACTTCAGCATCTAATTCAGTAATCTTCACTGACTGAGCCTGAATCTGACGCTGATGTTGTTCCTGTTCGTCATCAATCTCTTCCTGCAGTGTTTTGTTAGTTTTCCTTTCATCTAGCACTTGCTGCTCTAGTTTGTAAGCTAGTTCTAAAACTTGGGCTGCTAACTTGGACTTCTCATTTTCTGTCTCGAGGAGTTTTTTTTGGCACTGTTCGACAACACCTTCAAGAGATTGGCACTTCAATTGAGACAATTCCAATTCAGAAGTGACAGAGGCAAGCTTCTCTTCTAAGTCAATAACTTTAATATTAAGACGCTCACCCAGATCAGCTACTTCATTGGAAAGAGACAGGCGGATCTCTACTAGTTTCCCATTTTCAGCTTTAGCCTCAGCAATACATCCTTCCAGTTCAAGGCAGCGTCTGACTGACATTTCCATTTCAGACTTATTCTGCTCTACCCGTTCTTTCAGAATCTCCATTTCAAGCAACAATTCAGTTTTGGTTTGTTCCAATTCGGAAACAGCAGCTTTCCTTTCAGCAAGATTAGCATCGGCAATGTTGAATGATTCAGTCAGATTAGCAAGATGTGACTTTTGTTCAGCAATCTCTTCCATGAGGCGATCAACTTCCTTAGTCAAGTCAGACTTTTCCAGTTCCACTCGTGCAATGGCTTCTCTATCTACTGCAATGTCATTTTCTAGTTGTTTGCATTTAGATTCTGAGTCTAAAAGCTTGCAATTTGCTGCATGCAATTGTTCTTCAAGAGAACTGTCTCTGAATGCTTGACTGAACTTAACTGACTTCTTGCGCATTGGGGGCTGCAAAGAACATGGAGAGCAGTTAGATTCTTGAACTAAAATAATAATTATACAAAAATAACTGAATAACGAGTTAAGCAATGTAAACTAACAATGCAGACAGGCAACGTGTTCAAGCTGGCAGAGCGCTGCAAGGCACAGTCATTTGCCGTATGTTTGGGTTTAGTAAACCTATCTGTCATTTTGTCCATGCCCACCCCTTTGATTTTCATATCATCAAATTTAGGGTCATAAGCTCCTGGGGCAGGAACATCGTCTGGAAAAATAAAAATAATTAAAAATTTACATCAGCTTGTGTAGGATTCAGTGGGAAGAATACTAAATGAGAGAAATGAGCATTTGATAACTCCATCAGCAAGCAAGAGCACAAAATGTCAAAGAAGTAGGCGGGGGTCCGCGACCCTGCGTGTTGCAGACAACAGCGTAAAGATAGTTTTGAGAAAGCTTAGTACTATAATTGTTTTCAAAATAGATACGCGAGTTATTAAAAACATGCATAACACCGTAACACATTTTCACATACTTTTGACATCGTTGAAACGATGTATTTCGGCTCGAGGAAACATGGTGGATAGTAGGGCGCGAAATCTTCCTGGAGGGTCATTTGCACGGTTTAGACTGGCTACGATTGTCATTTATTGGATACGTTCTAGTGGGTTTTCGAGGCCTCTGATTGGCTGATTTTCAACTAGAATGTATCCAATAAATGACAATCGTAGCCAGTATAAACCGTGCAATTCATTACACAGCCCCCGGCGGCTGGGCTACTTCCGGTCTGCGGATAGTCAGTAAAGTCAACAAATTTTCAGTATTTTGTTTGGTTTTGTTTAGGGGAGACCGGGGAGGAATGAGGAAAGGGGAGGATTGAGGAATGCCGTTTAAAAATCGAACGCGCGCTTTCACGGTGGCGGCCGAATGTCTTTTTTTGCCCCCTAACATACCTTGACTGGTAAACGTTTGTATGAGAGGGGGGTGACAACACTGGCGCGAAATTTTAGGGCAGAATGGTTTTACATACAAATTTGCGGCCAAAACGGCAGATTTCAGACCTCCGGTAGGTCGTTATTTCAATATCAAAGATTATACTTATTTGTTCGGGGATTTTTTCCATTGTTCATTCATCCTTTGCGCACAGTTTTCTGTGCCAACCAATTTGCTAGCAGCCTACTACATTTATTGAGAGTTTTTTGAATGAAACTATGCAAAAAGGGGTGGATTGAGGAACGAGGTTAGGGGTGCATTGAGGAACGCCCATTTCCATATTTCCGACGGGGTAACGTGAGGAGTTGTGTATAACTATCAAATTTCGCCTATTTACCGCCAACAGATGCAATATGACGGCGAGAGGTATACTAAAAATATCGAAATTGAGTCACATCGTAGTAGGCATAGCCCGATATTTTTTCTGCTACAGTATTTTGACTAATTTTGAACTAATGGAGGGCATAAGCGTGCAGTGCACATTAACCTCATGATTTTTTAAAAAATCTGGACGTAGAAGCAAAAGATACTGAACGTTAAGTCAATTTTCTTCTCTTCTACTACCTCTTTTCTTCTCTCGCTTTACCTCTTTTTTCTGTCTCTGATCCCTCCCCTTCCGCCTCCCTTTTCAATTTTTTGAGGTGGGTCTGGCGACCCACCTCAACCCCCGTTTGGGTGCCACTGCTTTCTGTGACACAGTACTAGAATTCCTCATGCTTTTTAAGCTGTGCTACTTGACTATGTGATAAAATGAGTAAATTAACATAATATTTTGTTAAGTTCATTGATTTTGTTTCTCTGTTGTGCAATTATACACTTCAACTTGCCTAGGTGACTAAAAATTCATCATAAATCTTTAAATGGTGATATTTCTCTATATTTTAGGCAGTTTTCCATTCCTCTTGCCCTGTTCCTCAGTCTGCCTTAAGCCATTCCTCAATCCTCCCCGGGCGTTCCTCAATCCTCCCCGAGCATGGGGAGGATTGAGGAACACGGGGTGGATTGAGGAATTGCAGATTTCTTTTCATCTATTTACCACACTGCATCGCGCCCCAAAGTGTCAATAGAATATTTCCAGACCTATAATGTGCCCAAATAGCAAACCTCCAGCTCAAAAACTTCGGTTTTTATGGCCAGAAGAAAAAAAGTTCCTCATTCCTCCCCGGTCTCCCCTACCTTTTTGTTGACCAATACTGACTATCTTAGATGTGGTGTTACGCATGCTCTGAAAATCCCCATCCATCTAAGAGCCCCGGAAGCAGAGATATGTGTGACGCAAAATGTAAAATTTTAGGGGGGTAAATGAGGGTATAGGGGCCGAAATGCGACGTACAACAGCCATACCACCGCTGAAACACCTAAATTAACCATTTTTATGAACAAATTATACGCAAATGTGAAGAATATTTTTTACATTTACGAATTAAAAAGAACGCAACGAGAGCAGGTGCAAAATTTTCTGTAAACTGCGTAGTAAAAAGTACACAAAAATTTAGTGTGTACAACGGCACTGTTACACGTTGTGGGTGCCCACCTCTCGTCCGCGTTGGTCGGTGAGCAGGTAGGCGTTGGGCACAGCTGTGCATGCGAGCCAGATGCGAGGCTCGCAGAGGCTGGAGGTCGCTTTTTCCTCCGTTCGCGCCTGGCTCGCGTCTCAGAGGCCACCCGAGGTGTGGCGAGGCTCGCCAAACCAGTGAACGCTCGCCGCTTGGCGAGGCTCGCACAGGCCCAGCCAGCAAGGGGGCGGGGGTTTGGGGAAAGCCAGTTGCCGCGAGGCTCGCATCTTCACCCACATCCGATTTCAGCCGCACTTTAGGCAGCACTGACCAGTGAACTGCTCAGGTGAGGGGTGTGGCGGGGTAGGTGGTCGCCGGTCGGTCGCCGGCCGCGAGGCTCGCATCGTCGCGATCCTCGCCGAGGCGGGCGAGGCTCGCCGGCTCCCAGAAGCAGCAGCTGGCTGGATCCGAAGGTGCCCGAAGCTGCACGCTCGCGGACGCTCGCAGCTAAATCGGCGGGTCGTGTCATCTCCCACAAAAGTTATTAGCACGCTCTGTTTGCTCAGAGGCAAAATATACATCAACCCGTTCATTTCATTTCGAGGCGCATGTGGAGGGGGGGTGCTGGTCTGGTCAGCGCACTAAAGAGCGCACCTCTGTGCCGCCGGGCGGGTCAGCCTGGGCAGTAGACAGTCCCGTCGAGCGCACCTGTGCCGCGGGCCTGCCTACCCCGCCGGGGGCTCCGCACTCACCGAGTGCGCGGCCTCCCTGAGTAGCTGCGTGGCGGACGGCCCCCAGAGAGCGGGGACAGTCAGGACGCAACGCACGGACTGCGTCAGGTCGGGGTCACCTCGTTCCGGGTCACCCTGGTCGGAAGCGGTCAGCTCGGCCAGAGCGCGCTGGCGGAGGTGTCCCAGCGAAAGGCTGAGCACTGTGAGGGCCGACACCTGCCGCCCGTTCGCCGCGGTCAGCGTCGTGTCTCGAGTCAGCGTCTTGTCCCGCTAGAAGCGTTGTGCCCCGCGACATCGCGGACCCTTACTGTCTGGCTGATCAGCGCCATCTTGACCTTGTCAAAACAGCCATCGCTTGGCGTGGTCCGGGTGCAGGTCGTGAAACGTGTCCCGGGCCAGGAAGCCGAACGTGAGGAGCAGGCCTTCTCGCCTTCTCGTTGTGCAGCCGGTATAATACCGTGTTATACGTGATCATCTCGCCTGGCTTCCCTCCCCAAGGCCCGCCAGCCCGCTCCGCCAGCACCCCCCTCTCCACCTCCCACAAAAGTTATTAGCACGCTCTGTTTGCTCAGAGGCAAAATATACATCAACCCGTTCATTTCATTTCGAGGCGCGAGAGAGACGGATAGAGAGAGAGAGAGAGAGAGGGGGGGGG